TTATTTATTTATTTATTTATATATTTATTTAGTTATTTATTTTGGGGGTACCAGGGATCAAACTCTGGCCCTTGTACTTGCAAGGCAGGTGGCAGAACCACTGAGCCAAATCCCCAACTCCTCTAATTTTTTATTTTGAGACAAGGCCTTGCAAATTGCTCTGGCTGACCTTGAACTTGCTGTCCTCCCACTTCACCCTCCCAAGTACCAGTAGTTGGGATTACTGGTATGCACCACCATACCTGGCAAACATTTCTTATTTAAGAAATGTGAGGGAATGTGGCACATGCCTGGCAATTCCTTGCGAGCCCAAGGCAGGAGGATCACCATGAGTTTGAGGCCAACCTGGACTATGTAGTGAAAACTTGTCTCAAAACACTAAAGATGAGAAGGACAGAAAGTAGACTCCTAGCAGAAAAGGAAACAGGATTTAGCTCATAAAGGAAGGAGGATGTACTGGGAATGGTTTGCAGATGACTCTGATGGGACAGGGAAGCATCTCTTTCTCCATTAGTCGATGACAACATCTCTTGCTCCGTGTACTGCAGTCTAAGAAATGAAGCTACATGGTCAAAGCTCAACATTCTGTTGCGTACTTACTTGGGTTTTATCTGTCTCCTGTCTTTCTGATGTTCACTGTCCTATGACTTTGTCAAGCCCTGAGCTGAGGCAGGAGTAGGATCTGGGCCATTGAGCGGAACTCTTCTATGCTTAAAGGGCTCTGGTCCCTCTGAACTACCACTGTGGTCTTTTTTGCCTTCAGCCCAGCCCCCATGGAGATGCTAAACCCGAAGCTTCGCCTGCCACCCTTCCACAATGCCATTGACCTTGATTCTACCTTCAACGTGAATACCCCTACAGCCCAGCCTTCTGGCTCCCAGCATGGCTGCTCCAAGAAGCTCTGCCTGGAAAAGGCATGGTGAGTAACAGTCTCTGGCAGTGTCCACCACCTGGAATGGGATAGCTAAGACATCTCTGTGAGCCCTGCCCTGGTAGTTCTGAGTGGTTGATGCAACAGTGAGTGCTGCCTGGGTTTAGCTATTGCTTTGGTTCCAGCCACTTCTTCTTCCTTGGCCTCAAATCTTTGTAAAGCCCTTCTTGCTTATCTCAGTCTTCATTGTCACCCTTTAAGGTAACATACTGGGGTAAGTTAGAATGCAGGGATCCCAGTAGGGACAACTCTGGGCTGACAGTGTTGGGGCAAGTGCTTCCAATACCTTGAATGCCTGCCTACCACAGTTTCAGGCCAGAGACTCTAAACTTCCTCCTGTTGTTTAGAAGGGAGTCTAAACTTCTGTTGTATACCTCTGAGGTTCATGCTTGAGGCAGGACCATTTCATACTGTGCAGCCCAGGGGAGTAGCCCAGAGGAGCTCTGGAGCTGCAAGGGGCAGGTGGGACCTGTACTAGAGGCACAGCGAGACTAGGAAAAAGAAGGCATTCTCCTTGGCAAGGTATACCAAGTGTGGTTCATTATGGAGACACAGACTATACCCCTTTATACATGTAGGAATGTGCTAGTCAGATAAGGGGAATCTAGAGCTGTGCAGGTTTCTTCTTAACTTAAGACTGGGCATAAGAGAAGGAAGTTGAGATATTGGACAATGGTGGTTAAGAGGGCAAGCCACCACTTGCTGACTTTGAGCATGAACCCTCACACCATAGCACTTGGGCCTGGAAACAATGGGAAGAACCAAACCTAGGGGCTATGGGCTTCAGGGCACCCCTCAGTGCCTGCTCCATATCCTGGCTTCCTCCCATTGCCTCCTCTTCAGCTGTTAAGGTTGAAGTTGGTTATCAGGGTCTTCAGGCTGCTAAGTGTTTTAGAGATACTTCTGCCATCTTCAGGGACTGTAGGGAGAATGAAGGAACATAGAATGCCTTTAATCTACTTAGCCTCCCCAGAGCTAGACTTGTAGTAAGTAGTCTTCCTAGGGCTGTCATATGGCCTTATCTCAAGTTAAAGAGGCTGAAGTGAAGGAGTCCAGAATCACTTGCTCCGGGCCTCCTCTTGTGGCTTGAAAATAAAACAGGCCAGCTATGGGTCAATATTTTCCCACTCACCTGGAGAAATACCAGGAGAGGATATGTAGCTGCTAGGGTCCCCAGGAATTCGATGGAAACAGTGCCCAGTTCTGGGGCTGGAAGTAGGAAGCCAGACTTGGGGCCATCTCTGTTCTGCTTCATATCTTCCCTGCACACATTCTGTAGGATGATGAACTGACCTTGTGTTCTGAGAGTACTCCGGGCTACCTTACTAATTGGCTAACTTACTGAGAGTCTCATTGAAGTTGTGTCCCTTCTCTGTGTGGGCAGGACGAGGCCTGAGCTTATTGGATGCCTTCTGCCTGTATTAGGGCATGACCTGACTCCTGCTGTGATGAATTGCTTGGGCTTCCCAGCCCCATGTAGAGCCTGGAACGTAATGAGGTACCCAAGCACTTGGGGAGCATTGCAATGAAGCCATAAGATTGGGACATGGTCCACCTTACCCTATTCAGCAACTCTTCTGTCCAGTTGTTCACAGACCTGCCCTTAGGGTGGATACCACAGAAACATTTCCCAGTGGTACCTGTCCCACCATGCCACTCTGGTGGCTCCTTTAAGGACATGTGTTGGCTCTCATATATTGCTTACCTAACCCTTGCCTTTGTGTTTCACTCTTATAGCTCTCCTGTTCAAGATGTGCTAAGGAAGATGCCCAAAGTTTCCAAACAGGTAAGGACTTTCCAGAAGAAAGTACAGGCAGTCATCATCCAACCCTGGGAGGACAGAGTATTATCAGAGCCCTCTCTCCTGGCTCAGGACTGAGACATTTTTGAGCCACTCCTGTAACCCTATTTATTATCTTTCTTGCCTCCTGATGAGGCACTAGAGATTCTGATCTTGTTCTGCCACCACTCCCCTCCCTACTTTGCTTTCACTTGACTCTTCAAATCTATCTCTGGGGTTTTCCCTGCAGGAGTCCCAGCTCTCTCTGGGTGGCCAGCGCTGTGTAGGAGAACCAGATGAGGAACTAGCTGGTGCCTTTCCTGTCTTCATCCAGAAGGCAATCCTGGGTCAGAAACAGTCCAAGAGGACTATGGCAGAGTCCTGTCGCAGCACAGATGTGGTAAGTGTGGCTTCCCACAAATTCTAGTTTCCATCCATCTTGAAACGAAACAGGCAGCTCCCTAGCCCAATAGCCTGGTCCACTCATCTCTTCCTTTTGCCCTAGGTAAGAACAGGCTTTGATGGCCTTGGGGGCCGGACAAAATTCATTCAACCTGTATCCTTGTTCTGTTGCAGTGGGTTGGGCTGAGCTGTGGAGCCTATACCACACACTCCCAGACATCAGATTACGAATGTCTTCAGCCTCAGGTGTGCAGAGCTGGGCCTTGTTCAGTGTAGTAGCACTGTCCACCCCACGTGTGAACCTTTTCTAACCTATACTCCAGGCCTATTCCTTAATATCTTCTCCAGACTGACATAGCTGTGATCCGCCCACTGCCGGTTAAGCCCAAAGCCAAGACTAAGCAGAGAGTGAGGATAAAGACTATGCAGCCTCCCTGTCAGACCAAGCTGGATACCTTCCTGTGGTAAAGAGACTAGTATAAGCAGTGGCCAGATACATACCTCCAACAAGAAGACTGGCCAGGCCAGGGATCTTTTAGGGGATGGGCTCTTTCAGGTCCAGTCCTGAGAGCAAGGGCGGATGAGCAGACAAAGCTTCAAATGACACCAAGAGACTGAACTTCCTGTGCTCAGTCTGCCTTACCCCACAACACTGGGCTTCTCTTTAGGAGTCCATACAATTCTGATTGGCTCTTTGTTTTAAGCTCCCGTTTATAGCAGTGGTCATCAGTTGGCTGAGTTTTTTCTGGTTGTGGAGACTACAGTCACTTGTTGATTGTTTGTATGGAAAAAAGTACTTGAGGTTTCTCAAGCAACCTCGTCAGAGCTTCCTTCTGCCCTGGCGTAATGCTAAGCATGGCTTGGGCCAAGCAGAGTGGTGGATAGAGGTAGTGGTAAGGCGAGGATGGGGGAAAATAACAAAATATTGTCTTTTCTTCCTGGTTCTGGGATTATACATTTGCATTGAGACTTTGGAAAACTGCTTAGGATGACTTTCTAAAGGAGGAGCATCACCTAGACTCAGACCTAGCAATTTCATTACTAGGTATGGGAACTCTCATAGGGCTTGAGAGACTCTAGCAAGATTGAGAGTACTGCAGTTTTGCCCAGTCTGACCAGGGCATAGCCCACAAGCCCTAAGGAGGAAAGTGGATAGGTAAACTATTTCTCCATAAAGAGTTCACTCATAGCAAGCACAAAAAATTAGTAGTGGCCAAATTGTGAGGTTTCAGGTCCTGCCTTTAGGGGCACTTTCTCCCAGAGTGTTTCCCTGCTTGACCCCTAGCCTGGCCAGGACCCCCTAAACCTCCCTCTCCAGCTATTGAACAAGACTTTACTTAGGGCCCAGTATGGGATGAGAGGAACAGAAAGTGAGTAACTAGTTAAGGCTGAAGGTGCCCAGCTACTTTCTAGTAAATCTAGAGAAACACTGGGCTATACGGATAGGTAATCCTCTTAGTTATGGGGCTGACATGAGCTGAGGTGTAGTAAGGATCAGTGCAGTATCAGACTGAAGAGTAGAGGCTGGCTGCCAGCACCCTCTTCACCTGCTGAGTGTTCTTGTGTAAGTTACCTAGCCTCTGTGCTTGGCTTTCTTTATAAAGTGGGGACAAGAGTACCAACATCACAGGAGTGGGGATCTAATGAATCAGGATATTGGTTAAGAACTTATACAACTAAATGAAATAAGCCAGATATAAAAGGACTACAGTATGATTCTACTGATATGAAGTATCTAGAATGGGCAAGTTCATAGAGACAAATAAAATAGTAGAGACAGAAGCAAAATAGAGGATACCAAGGACTAGGAAACTGGGGAGCTACTGCTTAATGCTAAGAGTTTGGGATAATGAAAAAGTTTACAAATAGGGATGATGATTCCCCTCCCCCAAATCCTGAAAACCCAAAACCAAACAAAACCCAAAAAACAAGACTGACCTAATAAATATATGGAAATGTTGCCATTCAGCCCGGCATTCTTTGGCTCAATTTAGACGGAAATCACAGCTCTGTTAGCAGTCCTGATGTCACCAGGTAACATAAGTTAGTAATGAATCCCATTAATTTGCACAGCCAGCTGCTGGTTACTGCTGCTGCTGGTGGTAGATCAGTTCTACCATTTGCTGGTCTCTGTCGTCTGCTGTTCTCTGGAGCTCTTTGGTGTTAACAGCTCTGAGTGTTTGTCTTTCTTTGCAAACCAGCTGCTCAGTCCACACTACCTGGGAAATGAATCAAGAGCAGGTTTTACTAGAACACCAAAGTAAGTGTTTATTTTAACAGGGCCTGTGCTGCAGCAAAGTGGGGCTGTTATACAGGAGCAAGGCCTCCTAGACTAAAATCAAAAAGTGTCTAGGAAGTGCTATTTATGTAGCAGCTGCCAGCCTGTTACAGTGAAGGTGAAGGCTGAAACCAGAGAATCTTCTGGAGAGCTTGCTGTGAATGTTGGGTATGCAAATAAGGGGCCCAGGTCCCTCTCCTGATCTTAGCCATTCCAGGATGCTCTTTCCTTCAAAACTGCAACAGTATAGCTGGGCATGGTGGCCAACACCTGTAATCCTAGAACTTCAGAGGGTGAGGCAGAAGGATCGCAGGGAATTTAAGGACAGCCTCAACTACATAGTGAGACCCTATCTTTACAAAAACCAAAATAAACAACACTGTAATAGTATGGCCTGAAGTGGTGGCAGTAGCAGAGAGGCACCACACTGCCTTTCTGGCTACATTTACATTAGAGTGGAGAATAGTGATTTGATGGCCAGGGAGGACACTGAAGCGAACTGTCCCAGTCCACTGGGGTACAAGGGGGAGGAAAGGAAAATGAGAAGAAAGAGCAGATAACTGCTGGCCAAGCCACATCCCCACTCTAGCTAGCACAGGAAGAAATGAGGCTCAAGTGCTTCACGTCTATCTCAGACATCTTGTTTTTGGATTAGAAGAATGAATTTATTTGTTTGTTTGTTTGTTTATTTATTTGGTACCAGGGATCTAACTCAGGACCTTGTACTTGCGAAGCACGTGGTGGAACCACTGAACTAAATCCCTGGCCCTCCGACTTTTTTTTTTTTTTTTTTTTTTTTTTTTTTAAATTTTAAGACAAGGTCTCATTAAGTTCCCAGGCTGGCTTTAAACTTGTGATCCTTGTGCCTCAATCTCCCAAGTAGCTAATGAGATAGGAGATAGGGTGTAGCTTAAACTGTCTGGAAAGGGAGGTGCTATCAGATCTCAAGATACACATGTGACAAATAATTCTCAAGATCCTGTGCGAGAACCTGCAGTGTGTGGAATGAATAAAAGGAGATGACTCCATTGATAGTGGACTATTGTGACTTTGCTCACACTGGCCCCAGGATACACTTTTATATTTTTATTTTATTTTGGTTTTTAGATTTTTTGCTTCTTTTATTCCACCCAAGCTCACTCTGCTGAGCCAATTCACCTCACTTTTTTCAAATAAATGTGAAACTGCCATCATTTTTGTTTGTTTCACTCAGTTCTTTGTTCAAAATGAAACCACCTCCAGGAGATTACAGTACATCAAAATCCAGTCTACAAATTCAATACAATCCCTATTAAAATATCAATGTCCTTTTCTTATAAAAATAGAAAAAGAGGCCTCAAATAGCCAAAACAATTACAAAAGGAAAAGTTCTTCCCAAATTAAAAACTTACTACAAAGTTACAATGATCAAAACACTGAGGAGGGGCTGGGAATTTAGTTCAGTGGTTCCACTCCCTGCCTCGTAAGTGCAAGGTCCCAAGTTCAATCCCCGGTACCAAAAAAACCAAATAGACACTGTGGAGTATGGTCATACATAATGGTGGGGTCTGAAACTCTAGGGCACTAATGGCAAGACTTTTAGAAATGAGTGCTCAAACTGTAACCCAAAACCTACTTACTTATCACAAAGTGCCAACACTATAATTAAACCTGCATACTGAGGTTTTAGTTTAGAAAAAACAACTCATTAACATCTTTTGTCTTAAAAATAACACACCATAGGTTAGACCTCACTGCTCTAGGGATTGGTACCTCAATCAAAGGAATCATTGAGCTGGACAGACTAGTGATTGTAATGAGCTATTTTACAACTCAACCTTAATCAGACATTTAACAACAGAGGTCCAGATAAAGGTCAGTCAGCCACCATAGGGTAGCAGCCTCAATTCCAGAAGCAACTGACTCATGTCAGGACAGGCAGTGGAGACCTTGCCTTCTGAAAAGTTGGGGTTGTACACTTCGGTGGGTCTGGCAATACTCTGAAATGTTGCCTTAGTTTTTATGTCTGTGCCCTGTTCCCTTCCATCTCTTAGATCAACAGTGTCTTTTTTCCCCTCAAAGTTTTTGTCAGGTCACCATTTGACTACAGAGATTTAAAAAACAAAACAAAACAACAGCAGCAGCCACATACAAGGAACAAACGCTTAGCAAAATGATTCATAAAATCACGTAGATGGTGGCACATTGCCTGTGGTTCCAGCACTTGGAAAGCTGAGGCAGGAGGATTGTCCTAAGTTCAAGGCCAGCCTGGGCTACATAGTAAATTCAAGACTGTCCTTAGTTTCTTTGGTGTGAAAAACTATAATAGTACACAGGATCCTAATGAGATAATTAATAATGTGAAATAGGAGGTAAAGGGCTAAAGGTGTAGGAAAGTGGGAAGGGTGGGGGAAAGGTAATATGGGAGAGGAAAAAAAATATGAGAAACTGAAAAAATGGAAATAAAGTGTTTGTAAATAGGGAGGGGAGGAGGGGGTGAAGGGAGGGCAGGGACAAGGGGAAAAAAATGAGAATCAAGACCTATTATGTAAAGGTACAAAATCCCAATGATGAATGTAACTGTATTGTATACCTAGATTTTACCAATAAACTCAATAAAAAGAAAAAAAAAGACTATCCTGAACTATGTAGTGAGACCCTGTCCAAAAAAATTGAAATAGATGGCTCCCACTCTCAAGCAAAATTTAGCAGTCCCTGAAGAAAGAAAGAATACAGTTTGTAGAGTTAGCACAGTATAATAATCAGTATATCCAGTTCTTTTTTTTTTTTTTTTTTTTTTTTTTTTTTTTTTTTTTTTTACTGGAACTGTTTGTAGCCCAGGCTGGTCTTGAACTCATGGCAATCCTCCTGCCTCAGCGTCCCGAGTGCTGGGATTACAGGTGTGCACCACCACACCGGACAGGATGTTCTTAACCAAAAAAAAAGAAAGCAAATAGAAAAGTATGACCTATTCACAGTAAAAAAAAAAAAAAAAAGATACTATTCTCGACAAACTCTGAACCTGAAAATTATAATAACCTCAAGCAAAGAATACACTTGAGTCACAAAAGCTGATTGCTTTCTTATATACCAGCAATTAACAATAGCAATTTGAAATTAAAAGCAGAATGCTTACCAGAAACGGTGGCTCATGCCTATAATCCCAGCCCTCAGGAGGATGAGGCAGGAGGAGTTTGAGTCCAGCCTGGGTTTAGGACTACATAGTGAAACTGTCTCAAAAAAAAAAAAAAAAAAAAAAAAAATCCAAATATATAATGCCATTGATACTAGCACCAAAAGAAAGGAATATTTATAATCTCTAAAAATATGCAAGATCTATGTGAAAAAAATTACAAAACTGATGAAAGAAGTTAACTAAATATGTGGAGAGTTACTCTATGTTAAGGGGAAAGGAAAATTCAGCATTGTCATGATGTGTGTTTCCACACCTTAATCTACAAATTCACCACAATCCCAAATTAAAATCCCAGCAAGTGGGCTGGGGATTTAGCTCAGTGGCACCATGCCTGCCTCAAAAGTGCAGGATCCTGAGTTCGATCCCTAGTACCACAAAAAACAAAAATCTCAGTAAACTTTTGCAGATATAGATAAACTAATTCTAAGGTTTATATGGAAAATTGAAAAGCAAGGAGTAGCCAGCACTTTATTTATTTGTTTGTTTGTTTGTTTATTGGTATTAGAAGTTGAACTGGGGACCAGGCAAGCTCAGCACCACGAGGTACATCCCTGACCCAATATTGAAGAAAAATGATTGAAACCACCCATTAGGACTACTATAGAGCTATAGTAACCAAGACAATATTGTAGTAAAAGTTGATCAGTAGAGTAGACTAAAGCCCAGAAATAGATCTACACAAATATAGTCAATTGGTCTTTTTTTTTTTGAGACAGGGTCTCACTATGTAGTGAGACTGACCTGGAACTCACTGTGTAGCCCAGGCTGGTCTTGAACTCACACTGATCCTCCTGCCTCAGCCTCCCAAGTGCTGGGATTACAGGCATGTGCCACCATGCCCAGCTTCAATTGGTCTTTGATAGAGGAGCAAGGGCAATTCAACAAAGGTGCCAAAAAATTGGTTTATCTATACCCCCCCTCCAAACCTAACACATCTTAGACCTTTCACACACACACACACACACACACACACACACACAAACACACACACAAACTAAATGGATCATTGACCTAACTATAAAACATAACATTATAATATTCCAAGAAGATAATGGGAAAGGAAGGTATAGATGATCTTGGGTATGGTGATGAGTTTTAAGACAAAATATCAAAATTATGATCCATGAGAGAAGACATTAAGAGACTTAAAATAACAAGCCACAAACTGGGTATAGTGGGGGCAGGCCTGTAATCCCAGCACTCAAAAAGCTGAGACAGGATTGTGAGTTCAAAGCCATATAGTAAGACCTTGTCAAAAAAGTAGCAGCAACAAAAACTGAACACACCTCACCAAAGAAGATATGTAACAAGTTAGCATATAAAGAGGTGTTCAATATCATATGTCATCAGAGAACTGCAAATAAAAACAATAAGATAGCACTACATAACTATTACAATTGTAAACATACAAAACAACACCAAATTCAGGCAAAGAATTCTTGTTCGTTGGTGGTGGGAGTGCAAAGTGGTATCGTACTAATCAGCTTTGCTGTCCCTGGGACAAAATACCTGACACCTAAAATTTAGAGGAAGAGTTGTTTAATTTGCTGCATGGTTTGGGGAATTCAGTCCATGATTGGCTAGCACCAAGGTAGAAACATGGTTGAAGGACATAATAGAGAAAAACTGCTCGCCACGTGGTAGCTAAAAAGCAGAGAGCAAAAGGAACCGGGAAGGGAGATACACCCTCTAAAGTCATGCCCACGGCAGCACACCTCCTCCAACTAGGCCCTATCTCCTAATAACACATTCAGCTATGAATTCATCAACCAGTGGTTAATCCACTGGCGAGTAAAGTGCCTTCATTATCCAATCACCTTATAAAAACTCCATTTCTGAACATACGAGACCTGGGACATTCTAGATCAAACCATAGTGTATAGTTACAGTGGACCCTTGACTTACTAACTCACTTTATTTCCGAGTGCTGGTTGTAACTGAAGTTGGTCGATGAAGGCTCAGGCACCTCTGCACAGCCTTCAAACTCTTGTCTCCTAAAACAGGCAGATCGCGGTTCCTTAAAGAGACATTGGCCCAGGATTTCTCAACCCCACGCAGGAGAGGATGTTGTAATGTTCTTCCAGAACTCTAAGGGTTAAATCTGTCTCAGACCATCTGGAAGCACAAGCAGCCGGCAT